CTCGTTTGCCCATCTTTCAGAATTTTGAAAAAGATAATACTGTTGAAAATATTTGACTTTTAAGTTTTTATCATATTTACCTGCAGAAAAATTGGTTTAAAAATCGTTATTTCGAAAAAATAAAAGTTGCCCATCTCCTAAAATTTAAGAAGTTCAAAAATTCCTAAAATTTAAGAAGTTAAAAACCCAAAATTTCAACCATTTGCTTGAGGTAAAAAATGTAAAGTAATATTTAACTACCTGCTAAAATTGTCAACTCTAAAATGACTACTTCGTTCCACTTATTCCTATTGTGTGTTTTGGGTTTCTCTGAAATCGATTTTTTTTAATACATTTTTTTGGTAATTAATTAATTTTTTTTTAGGTTTTAAATTTTAACAGATGGGCAAACATGGGCATCTTTTATTTTTTCGAAATACCGATTTTTAAAGGGTGGGCAAACGATTTTTGTTTAAAAATTACATTTTTAACGCCGTCGGGAAAGGTTTTTGTCAAAATTAACTATTTTTAAGAGGTGGGAAAACGATTTTTTTTTTAATTTTTAGATTTTAGAAGATGGGCAAACATGCCCATTTCTTTTTTGTCAAAATTAACTATTTTCAAGAAAAAAACGAATTTTTTCAGATTCTTAAATTTCAGGAGATGGGCAAACATGGACATCTTTTATTTTTTCGAAACAATGATTTTTAAGCGGTGGACAAACGATTGTTTCTGAAGGTAAATATGATCAAAACTTAAAAGTCAAATATTTTCAAAAGTATTAACTTTTTTAAAATTCTGAAAGATGGGCAAACGTGGGCAAAATTATCTTCCATTATAAAAAAAATATTCGAAAAGGTCAATTTTTATGTTTTTGAAAATGTTCCAAAAATTTTAGAAGATTCCAAAACAAATTAAAAAGTGGGCAAAAAATGGGCAAATTATTGAGCTTTTAAAATTTCAAAAATTCGATTTTAGCCGTCCCAGCTTCTTTGAGCTGAGTAACACAATGTAATTTAAAAATGTAAAATATTGTTTTTAATGCCTGAATTTGAATCTCCGACCCTATAAAGTATATATTAGGTTGTTTGGTAATGACATACCGGTTTTTTATTGATTTTTGACGACGATTTTAACATAGTTAGCATTGTCCGATTTAAGTGCTATATGTACCGTTGTCTTCGATGATTTTCTGCCATTTTGATGGTAACTTGTATATGCTTCTCCTAAAGAAGTCCTTGTCCCTACTGGCAAAAAACTCGGCGATTCGATTTTCACAATCCTCCCTTGAACTCAATTTTTGTCCATCGAAAAAATTATGCATTGCCAAAAACAGATGGTAATCGCTTGGGGCAATGTCCGGACTATAAGGTGGATGCATTAACACTTCCCAACCAAGCTCCCGTAGCTTGTGACGCGTCACCAAAGATGTATGGGGCCTGGCGTTGTCATGATGGAACACAACGCCCTTACGATTCACCAAGGCTGGCCTCTTCTGTTCAAGTGCAATCTACAATCGCTCCAGTTGTTCACAGTAGAGGTCAGAATTGATGGTTTGGCCATAGGGCAACACTTCATAATGGATAATTCCTCTGATATCTCACCATACACTCAGCAACACCTTCTGAGCCGTCAGTCCTGGCTTTGCCACCGTTTGAGACGATTCACCGTGCTTCGACCAGGATCTTTTACGCTTTATGTTGTCATATGTGATCCATTTTTCATCACCAGTGACTAACCGATCCAGAAATGAGTCGAGTTTATTACGGTGCAACAAAGATTCGCAGATTGAAAAAGGTCGAAAAGGTTTTTTTGGGATAACTCATGAGGCACCCATACATCGAGCTTTTTTGTTAAATTTTTCGACTTTAAATGCCTATGGACGATTTCCGTGCTTAGTTGCAGCTCCTCTGCGATGGTTCTAATAGTCACATGACGTTCTCGATCCACTATTTCCATGATTTTATCCGTATCAACGGAATCGCCTAAACCACTGTTCAGCGGTTTGAATCGAAAGTTTGTTATCTCCTAAGACAGCAATAATCTGTCTGCGAAATTCCGCAGCAGTTTTTCCCTGTGCGAAATAAAATTTCAAAATTGCTTGAATTTCTGCGTTTGTGAACTCCATTTCAATCGATTGTAATTTTTTAACGTGGAAGCTCATGTAAACAAACTATGTCATTTTGGTGATTCCAATACCTTTCAAACGATATACAGCATTGCCAGATACGATTATATTTGACTTCAAAAGCGAAGCGCGAAATTTGAATGTAAAAACCGGTATGTCATTACCAAACAACCTAATATATTGTTGATCAGGATCGCGTCCTGAGTTGATATAAGCATGTCTGTCTGTCCGTCTGTCTGTTTCTACGCGAACTTGTCTCTCAGCTGGGCCCTTTGCTGTTTACTTTGTTTATCAACGATCTTCCCTCTATCATAACACATTCTCGTGTACTAATGTATGCTGATGATGTTAAGCTCTGTTTATCATATTGTGATATAGCGTCGGGATTTAATAGTCATATATTGATTGTTTTCATGGATGGTGTGAGTACAACCTTTTAAAGTTGAACTACCTTAAATGCAACGTTATGACTTTTTAAAGGGATACTCCTACGTTTATCAGTTACTTTCTTGAAAATACGCCACTCGACCGTATATATTCAGTTAAGGCAGGCTTGCACCTTGTTGGCGCCCAAAACCTGATTTTTTTCTGAAATTTATTTCTTGGAAAGTATGGTAGGTGTGGGAATAAAATTTTAGCCAGTTGTAGGGTACAGTTTATTGAAGCTACACAATTTTTTTTGAGTGCGATCCAAGCGAAGGGGGGAGGGGGAGTACCCAACAATGGCGGCATGTCCACGAAAAACTCGTCCTCATGGCGGATTTTTTGGAATTTTAAGAAATAATCTGAGATGCAAAAAACGAATATATTCTTAATCTGTACACTTGCTCGCATGGCTTGAACTAGGATAATTGAAAAAACATAATAAATGAAAAAATTATGAGCTTTTGAAAAAAAATCGGTTTTTTCCTCATTTTTTCGTTACTCATTATTTTTTTAAATAAACAATTTTTAATATTTTCAAAAGATCCTAGTCTATGCCATGCACATACTTCTGAGGAACATGTATACAAAATTTCATGACGATTGCTCAATTTTTGCGGCTTGTACGACTTCCGCCAACTCGGAAAACATGGTTTCGAGAAAAACGCGTTTGAAAATATGCACTATAATGGCAACGCGCTTGACACCGGTCCACCAAACGGCCGATAACTTTCGTAATTCAAAAGATTTCGACTTGAAATTTTAGGAGAGTAAAATTGAAACATGTATGTATCCGAAACTGCAAAAAAAAAAAAATTGATTTTTTTGACCTCACAAGGTGCAAGCCTGCCTTAACGATTTAGGTGTTCTTCTGGACCGTAAACTTAAATTTGACTGCCACATAATGTTCACTGTTAACAAAGCCATGAGTGCTCTTGGGTTTATAAAGCGTTGCTCAAAAGAATTTGATGACCTTTATACGACCAAATTATTATTTATCTCCCTTGTCCGTCCTATTTTGGAATATTTTTCGTCGGTTTGGAGTCCACAATATCAAGTGCACATTGACCGTATTGAGTCGATACAAAAAAAATTTCTTATATTTGCCCTTCGTAGTTTGTACTGGGATCAAAACGTAAGGCTACCTTTCTACCAGAGTAGATTACTGTTGCTTAATTTACCTACACTTGTAAATCGTAGAACAATGATTAGTACTATTTTTATGCAAAATCTTATAAGAGGTGATATTGAATCTGCAGAACTTTTAAACCGCCTAACTTTCAATGTTCCTGTTAGACTAACACGAAATTATATTCCTCTAAATTTTCAACGATGTACATCAAATTTTTGTCTGCACGAGCCCTTTCGCGTTCTATGTAATAATTACAACAACCTTTATCATTTAATTTGCATTTCAACTTCTATCCCGTTATTAAAAACTAATATTTTAACTCATTTGCTTTACTCTTAGTTGTGTATTTTATTTTCATTTGTGTCTTCTCTCTATTTTTTTATGTATTTTCCTCGCGAACTCGCATCTTTTGCCCAAATTGAAAATAGGTCCCCGCGCGTAACAAGCACGTGCTTGGTGTCGTTGGGCCACTTGTTTGTACTGCACGAAGTGCATCAACGTCCATCATATATTTAAAGATATCGAATTGAAACTTTGCACACACCCTTCGTTCTTTTGCAAGCAGTTATAAGTCGGAACGACCGGGATCGGCCGACTATATCCTATAGCCGCCATATAACTGATTAATCGGAAATGCCATAACTTTGGTGTTCGTAAAGTTAGGATGTTGGGATTTTCTATGGGTTTTATTTAAGGCCAATCAATCCGACCTACCAAATAAGGCCATAAGGATCGGCCGACTATATCCTATAGCTACCATATAACTGAACGATTGGAAATGCCATAACTTTGGTTTTTTTAAAGTTAGGAAGTGGGGATTTTTTATGAGTATTAAGAATGCATCATATGAATCATTTTGGAGAATATAGTTTACAAAATATTCTGCAAGGCTCCGCCCGAAGATAGCTTTCCTTTCTTGTTTTTATTCTGGCTTTGGTCGAATTATATATTATAAGTCGCTTTCTGACTCTTTAATAGCCACTAGATGTCAATTCACAGTTATTAATCAAAAATAGAAAACTATGCAACACAATTGTTAAAAAAAAAACCTTTTATCATTAATAATGATTAATTATTAAGCAGAAATTCATTTCAATTTCAACAAAAAATATCGCTTTTAAATGAGAAAACTAAAATTTTGTCTGAACTGTGGCTTGTTGTTGTTGGTGTCGATAGTAAAGCATGATATTCAAGTGAAAGCTCAAAAATCTAATAAATAAAGATGGCTGACCTGAGTTTCAGACGAACACAACTTAAACTTACTTTTCTCTCATTATGCAAAACCTAAGTAAATAAGAATAAGTAAAAAACATTTACGTTATTTTCATGTAAATTTACATGTTGACATTTGTTGTTTTCAACTATGGGCGCCTGTCGGTAACTAACAGTCCAGACCTCTTAAAAAAGCTCCGTGCGGTATCCTCTTCCAGTTTAGTTTACCAAGAACACACATTGATTCTAACTGAAAGAAATCGTTTAAAAGCCGATTTAAACTTACTCGAGTTCCCTATCGGTATTGGAGTTAACCCAATTATGCAGATTGACCGTTATAAATAACAAACTCGAGTATATGTGTTATGCGTGGGAAAACAGCTTTTATTAAAACAAACTTAATCAATTAAAACAGCAGTAAAGGGAACAAAAATAATCTAACATCATTATTAAAAGAAGCACAACCTCGGCAATGTTGAATGGTATAATTTTAGACGTTTATTTAGTCATAATGTGCAGCATATGATATGCAGCAAGGACTGTCTTGATGATTTGATCATACATGTACATGTCAAATGTCAGTTTTAACAAGACATTTTGATTGCAAACAAATGACAAAATAAAAATACGTATTTTCCCGCCTTCGTTCTCCAAATGTTCTTTGTTATTTTTTGTTGTATTAATAATAAGTTTGGCCCTAAATGCAATAACGTATAAACGGAGCCATACTTTCATGTAGTCGGATTAGTGATGGAAATTTTTTTTATGCGGGAACACTTATAACTATTTTAAATTTCAATGAACTATTTGATCTTTTCCATGACGAAACCGACATGCGGCCTCATTTTGAACGACGTATTGGAATTAGCCGATTGTGTTTTGCTAAAAAACACTCTCAAGTCACAAAAAAGTACCCGGATTGAACATGACTCTGGAATATGCTGTCAACATTGAAATCTCTGTTTATTACAAAAATTTTCTGAACCTCTGAAAAATATATCCTCAATTGAAACAATATTAATTTCCCTTACAAATTTGTATGTTTTAAATTCGATTTAAAGGAACATTTGTATTCATAAGAATGCACCAGAAGTTGGGTCGACTAAAATAAAATTTTCGAAAATTGAATAGCTTAATCGTTTGTCCATTTTTTGCCCATGTTTGCCCACTTTTTAATTTTTTTTGCCCACCTTTAGTTTTGAAAATATGGAATATTCGAAAATTTTCAAACATTTTCGAAATCATAAAAGTTGACTTTTTAAAATTTTTTTTTTTATTGCAAGAGAATATTTTGCCCACGTTTGCCCATCTTTTAGAATTTTGAAAACATTTATACTTTTGAAAATATTCGACTTTTTAAGTTTTGATCATATTTACCTACAGAAAAAATTATTTGCCCACCCCTTAATTTTTTCTGTAGGTAAATATGATCAAAAAACATGGTCATCTTTTATTTTTTCGAAAAAACGATTTTTAATATATATTCTTGATCAGGATCGCGTCCTGAGTTGATATAAGCATGTCTGTCTGTCCGTCTGTCTGTTTCTACGCCTACTTGTCTCTCAGCTGGGCCCTGTGCTGTTTACTTTGTTTATCAATGATCTTCCCTCTATCATAACACATTCTCGTGTACTAATGTATGCTGATGATGTTAAGCTTTGTTTATCATATTGTGATATAGCGTCGGGATTTAACTATATGACTATTGATTGTTTTCATGGATGGTGTGAGTACAACCTTTTAAAGTTGAACTACCTTAAATGCAACGTTATGACTTTTTAAAGGGGTACTCCTACGTTTATCAGTTACTTTCTTGAAAATACGCCACTCGACCGTATATATTCAGTTAACGATTTAGGTGTTCTTCTGGACCGTAAACTTAAATTTGACTGCCACATAATGTTCACTGTTAACAAAGCCATGAGTGCTCTTGGGTTTATAAAGCGTTGCTCAAAAGAATTTGATGACCTTTATACGACCAAATTATTATTTATCTCCCTTGTCCGTCCTATTTTGGAATATTTTTCGTCGGTTTGGAGTCCACAATATCAAGTGCACATTGACCGTATTGAGTCGATACAAAAAAAATTTCTTATATTTGCCCTTCGTAGTTTGTACTGGGATCAAAACGTAAGGCTACCTTTCTACCAGAGTAGATTACTGTTGCTTAATTTACCTACACTTGTAAATCGTAGAACAATGATTAGTACTATTTTTATGCAAAATCTTATAAGAGGTGATATTGAATCTGCAGAACTTTTAAACCGCCTAACTTTCAATGTTCCTGTTAGACTAACACGAAATTATATTCCTCTAAATTTTCAACGATGTACATCAAATTTTTGTCTGCACGAGCCCTTTCGCGTTCTATGTAATAATTACAACAACCTTTATCATTTAATTTGCATTTCAACTTCTATCCCGTTATTAAAAACTAATATTTTAACTCATTTGCTTTACTCTTAGTTGTGTCTTTTATTTTCATTTGTGTCTTCTCTCTATTTTTTTTATGTATTTTCCTCGCGAACTCGCATCTTTTGCCCAAATTGAAAATAGGGCCCCGCGCGTAACAAGCACGTGCTTGGTGTCGTTGGGCCACTTGTTTGTACTGCACGAAGTGCATCAACGTCCATCATATATTTAAAGATATCGAATTGAAACTTTGCACACACCCTTCGTTCTTTTGCAAGCAGTTATAAGTCGGAACGACCGGGATCGGCCGACTATATCCTATAGCCGCCATATAACTGATTAATCGGAAATGCCATAACTTTGGTGTTCGTAAAGTTAGGATGTTGGGATTTTCTATGGGTTTTATTTAAGGCCAATCAATCCGACCTACCAAATAAGGCCATAAGGATCGGCCGACTATATCCTATAGCTGCCATATAACTGAACGATTGGAAATGCCATAACTTTGGTTTTTTTAAAGTTAGGAAGTGGGGATTTTTTATGAGTATTAAGAATGCATCATATGAATCATTTTGGAGAATATAGTTTACAAAATATTCTGCAAGGCTCCGCCCGAAGATAGCTTTCCTTTCTTGTTTTTATTCTGGCTTTGGTCGAATTATATATTATAAGTCGCTTTCTGACCATTCAAAGTTTTATTTATCTCGGTTTTAAGTAGCTTTTCACTAGATGTCAATTCACAGTTATTAATCAAAAATAGAAAACTATGCAACACAATTGTTAAAAAAAAAAACCTTTTATCATTAATAATGATTAATTATTAAGCAGAAATTCCTTTCAATTTCAACAAAAAATATCGCTTTTAAATGAGAAAACTAAAATTTTGTCTCAACTGTGGCTTGTTGTTGTTGGTGTTGATAGTAAAGCATGATATTCAAGTGAAAGCTCAAAAATCTAATAAATAAAGATGGCTGACCTGAGTTTTAGACGAACACAACTTAAACTTACTTTTCACTCATTATGTAAAACCTAAGTAAATAAAGGATAAATGAGTTTCTTCAATAAACTCAAACTAAGCCGATTATGTTTAATAACGCGCTTTATCGTGTTTAATACTTTTTATTAGAAATGCAATGTGGTTTTTAAACAAAAAACATTGACGTTATTTTCATGTAAATTTACATGTTGACATTTGTTGTTTTCAACTATGGGCGCCTGTCGGTAACTAACAGTCCAGACCTCTTAAAAAAGCTCCGTGCGGTATCCTCTTCCAGTTTAGTTTACCAAGAACACACATTGATTCTAACTGAAAGAAATCGTTTAAAAGCCGATTTAAACTTACTCGAGTTCCCTATCGGTATTGGAGTTAACCCAATTATGCAGAATGACCGTTATAAATAACAAACTCGAGTATATGTGTTATGCGTGGGAAAACAGCTTTTATTAAAACAAACTTAATCAATTAAAACAGCAGTAAAGGGAACAAAAATAATCTAACATCATTATTAAAAGAAGCACAACCTCGGCAATGTTGAATGGTATAATTTTAGACGTTTATTTAGTCATAATGTGCAGCATATGATATGCAGCAAGGACTGTCTTGATGATTTGATCAATACATGTACATGTCAAATGTCAGTTTTAACAAGACATTTTGATTGCAAACAAATGACAAAATAAAAATACGTATTTTCCCGCCTTCGTTCTCCAAATGTTCTTTGTTATTTTTTGTTGTATTAATAATAAGTTTGGCCCTAAATGCAATAACGTATAAACGGAGCCATACTTTCATGTAGTCGGATTAGTGATGGAAATTTTTTTTATGCGGGAACACTTATAACTATTTTAAATTTCAATGAACTATTTGATCTTTTCCATGACGAAACCGACATGCGGCCTCATTTTGAACGACGTATTGGAATTAGCCGATTGTGTTTTGCTAAAAAACACTCTCAAGTCACAAAAAAGTACCCGGATTGAACATGACTCTGGAATATGCTGTCAACATTGAAATCTCTGTTTATTACAAAAATTTTCTGAACCTCTGAAAAATATATCCTCAATTGAAACAATATTAATTTCCCTTACAAATTTGTATGTTTTAAATTCGATTTAAAGGAACATTTGTATTCATAAGAATGCACCAGAAGTTGGGTCGACTAAAATAAAATTTTCGAAAATTGAATAGCTTAATCGTTTGTCCATTTTTTGCCCATGTTTGCCCACTTTTTAATTTTTTTTGCCCACCTTTAGTTTTGAAAATATGGAATATTCGAAAATTTTCAAACATTTTCGAAATCATAAAAGTTGACTTTTTAAAATTTTTTTTTTTATTGCAAGAGAATATTTTGCCCACGTTTGCCCATCTTTTAGAATTTTGAAAACATTTATACTTTTGAAAATATTCGACTTTTAAGTTTTGATCATATTTACCTACAGAAAAAATTATTTGCCCACCCCTAATTTTTTCTGTAGGTAAATATGATCAAAAAACATGGTCATCTTTTATTTTTTCGAAAAAACGATTTTTAATATATATTCTTGATCAGGATCGCGTCCTGAGTTGATATAAGCATGTCTGTCTGTCCGTCTGTCTGTTTCTACGCGTACTTGTCTCTCAGCTGGGCCCTTTGCTGTTTACTTTGTTTATCAACGATCTTCCCTCTATCATAACACATTCTCGTGTACTAATGTATGCTGATGATGTTAAGCTTTGTTTATCATATTGTGATATAGCGTCGGGATTTAACTATATGACTATTGATTGTTTTCATGGATGGTGTGAGTACAACCTTTTAAAGTTGAACTACCTTAAATGCAACGTTATGACTTTTTAAAGGGGTACTCCTACGGTTATCAGTTACTTTCTTGAAAATACGCCACTCGACCGTATATATTCAGTTAACGATTTAGGTGTTCTTCTGGACCGTAAACTTAAATTTGACTGCCACATAATGTTCACTGTTAACAAAGCCATGAGTGCTCTTGGGTTTATAAAGCGTTGCTCAAAAGAATTTGATGACCTTTATACGACCAAATTATTATTTATCTCCCTTGTCCGTCCTATTTTGGAATATTTTTCGTCGGTTTGGAGTCCACAATATCAAGTGCACATTGACCGTATTGAGTCGATACAAAAAAATTTCTTATATTTGCCCTTCGTAGTTTGTACTGGGATCAAAACGTAAGGCTACCTTTCTACCAGAGTAGATTACTGTTGCTTAATTTACCTACACTTGTAAATCGTAGAACAATGATTAGTACTATTTTTATGCAAAATCTTATAAGAGGTGATATTGAATCTGCAGAACTTTTAAACCGCCTAACTTTCAATGTTCCTGTTAGACTAACACGAAATTATATTCCTCTAAATTTTCAACGATGTACATCAAATTTTTGTCTGCACGAGCCCTTTCGCGTTCTATGTAATAATTACAACAACCTTTATCATTTAATTTGCATTTCAACTTCTATCCCGTTATTAAAAACTAATATTTTAACTCATTTGCTTTACTCTTAGTTGTGTCTTTTATTTTCATTTGTGTCTTCTCTCTATTTTTTTTATGTATTTTCCTCGCGAACTCGCATCTTTTGCCCAAATTGAAAATAGGGCCCCGCGCGTAACAAGCACGTGCTTGGTGTCGTTGGGCCACTTGTTTGTACTGCACGAAGTGCATCAACGTCCATCATATATTTAAAGATATCGAATTGAAACTTTGCACACACCCTTCGTTCTTTTGCAAGCAGTTATAAGTCGGAACGACCGGGATCGGC